CCCCTGCCTCCAACTGCCTCCCCAGCATCCTACCTCCCCCAGATGCAGGTGAGAGCGGGGTGAGCATGTGCAATGCATCCCTGCAAACTTGCACCTTCAGTTTTGAGGCTGTCCTGCTCCTTCCCCCACCCTGACTGTCCCCAGCAGATGAAACTAGACTGTGCCTGAAAAACATCTCTACACAGGCAGCTAAAGAATTATTTAGTCCTGGAATCTTCCATAAATCAATGACAAGGGTGATCTCCCTCTGGGATGCCCCAGAACATGTCCTAGGAGGCTTTCAGGTGCATCTCTCCCAAATATCTGCCCACTGCTACTCAGAGAGCTAAACATGACCAGCACCAGCAGCATGGACGCCTGTGCTCAGTCACTCTGGAAACCTCAGCCAGGCAGGTCCGTCCATCCGTCTGTGTAGGCTGGGTGTTGGGACAGGGCACCCAGGAACCACAAGCAGCCCAGGAGCCCTGTGCCAACAGTGGGAGGCTCCTTCCCCAAGCCCACCACCCTCCTCAGAGAAATGAGGAAGGGCTGGGCAGGCAGCACATCCTAGGCAGGTGCCCCTTCCTGTCCCCATATAACCATGCCACTGTCCCCATCCCCATGCCACAGCCAGCACACTGGGGCAATATGAGCCCAGACACAGCCATAACACGCAGCTGGGGCCAGTCCTGGTGACTACAGGGACAAGGCACACTGCAAAGAGACATCGCTTTTGGAGCTTGCAGCGAGCCCACAAGAGGAAAGGCTGAGGAAATATTTGAGAACCCAAATGTTCCCAATGGACTGAAACAAGGATCTGAAGATGGGTGAAGAACAGGTCTGATGACAGAGTCTACATGGCTGTGAATATAACAGGAGGCAAGGACCAGGGGAGCAGGATCCCTGGCAGAACAACCATGGAGAGGAGAACGGACCCCAAGCTGAGCATTAGTCCCCAAGTCAGAAGTGATGTGTGTGGGGAGGTACAGGCAGGTAGAGCAGCTGCAAATACACAAAGCTTTGTCCTTTTGCTTCAGGGAGGCATCAGCTCAAGCTCTGCATCCAGCTTGGTCCCTGTGCTCTGAGACAGGGGGACATTTGGAAGAAAACCCTGAAAGCAGTCAGGGTGGAAACGTGGCTCAGAGGAGATGGAAGCAGACGGGCTGTGTAGTGGTGGAAGGAGAAGGCTGAAAGGGACCTACAGACCCTCCTCACATGCAGACCAGACAAGCAAAGAGAGTGGGGAGCGATTTGTTGTGTTTGGTGTGACAAATCTTGGAAGCAACTGGAACAAGGAAAGTTTCACAGTGGGAATATTACTGAAGGGAGAATGCAGGGAGAGAAAAACCCCACTGCAAAGGGCTCCCCAGCAAGGGGGGAAACACCTTGCATCGAGGATATGGATTGAGGCAGTGGTCACTGATTTAAAAATCTACAGCTTTGGCAGCTTTTGCTGCATCCTTGTTACACCTCCCTGTGTCTCCTTTGCCTCTTCTCTGGGCTCTCCAGGGCCCAATCCAGCAGATCTTGGGTCAGAGACTGCTTTCCTTCCCACTGAGCTACCCCAGCAACCCAGCCTAGTGCTTCCCACAAGACGCACTGACATGCTGTTCCCATGCATCCTAGCTCAGCCCAAAAGCTCCCTCCACAAGCTGTTCTCATGCCTGGGATTTGTCTCCTTTCGGCAGGGTTTTGGAGACAACCAGCTCTCGAGCGGATTCTGCACTTGACAGGGATGGGGCTGATGCACAACTGGAAATCCCATGCACAAATATCTCTACTTTATCCCAACCAGAAGCCGTGCTCAGAACCACAGGGGCAGGTCCCACTCTGGTGAAACACAATCCTGCATGAAGCTACCTGAATGCTGAGATATACAGGCAGACTCAGACCCTGCGAGGACAACATGGCCTCTGCAGAGGAGCAGGAACCTGTTTCACCACCCAACAAACAGAGGTTTTTTTTTTTTTTACCCCTCCTGACGTGCTTGAAGTGTGCACACACCCGTAGCACTGGAGGCTTATTCTACACCCTTAGGTGCCATCACCACTTCACAGCTGGACCTATCCTAAAGTCCAGGGAGAGACAGGGAAAGGGAGACTG